ATTTAACCTAGTGACCATCTGCGACCTTTCCCTAATGCTCTGACCTATGGAGAATGCTAACATTAAGCCCCGTAATGTGTCGAGATGAGAGAGATGAGAGAGGGAGAGAGAGGGAGAGAGAGAGAGAGAGAGAGAGAGAGAGAGAGAGAGAGAGAGAGAGAGAGAGAGAGAGAGAGAGAGAGAGAGAGAGAGAGAGAGAGAGAGAGAGAGAGAGAGAGAGAGAGAGAGAGAGAGAGAGAGAGAGAGAGAGAGAGAGAGAGAGAGAGATTCACATTACCATGCTTACTGGAATCACAATAGCTAGTTATATCAATGTGAAATTGTTTAAGTATTACACGGTGGGATCGAACTCATGGCTTTGGTAGACTCGCGCAATACCGACACATCCACGGTCCGGATTCGTTGAACATTTACCGCAGCCACTTAACGAAACCTTTACATCTTTCCTCAGTAAATGCCGGTTTATAGTCTATATTTATTAAACCAATTTGGTAACTTCACAACCCACCAGGTTATTAGAGTTATAAACAACCTCACAGCTCTTAGGCGCTCATAAACTGTCTGATAAATGTAAAATTTAAACGGGAAGATTTAAGAAAGATGTAAATGTTTCGTAAGAAGAGACACTTGAGTGGTTGATGGGTCCTGGATCATGACGGGAAGAAACATCATCACTTTTATTTTCTCTATCTTTATTTTATCTTTTATTATCATTATCTTTATTTATCTTTGTTTTTATCTATTTTTCTTCTTCCTTCTTTCACCTGTTGTGTTCCCTTGTCTTGTGCCTCTGTTCTGTTCTCTGTTCCTTTGTCTTGTTCCTCTGTTGTGTTCTCTGTTCCCTTGTCTTGTTCCTCTGTTGTGTTCTCTGTTCCCTTGTCTTGTTCCTCTGTTGTGTTCTGTTCCTTTTCCCTTTCCTCTTCCCTCCCGTTCCGGCGACTCACTTTGCGCCTCGGGGTAATCACCCTTGGACAGGGACTTGTTTACAGGGGAGGGGGGGGGGGGGGGGTTGTTTACAAGCGTGATGGGGAAGGGGGGAGGATGAGGGAGAAAGGGAACTGGTTTACAGAGGTAAAGGGGAAGAGAGGACTTGTTTACAGAGGTAACGGGGAAGAGAGGACTTGTTTACAAAGGTGAAGGGGGAGGGGGAGACAGGACTTGTTTACAGAGGTGAAGGGGAGGGAGGGGGGGGGGAAATATTCATTGTGGTGACACTGCCTGAAAAGTTCAACAGCTTTTCATGGATCTTTTATGACTAGTAGGGAACCTTCTCCACAATTTTTACGACTGGGAGAAGATATTCCCATTTTCTTTTACGACTTACTGCCTCTGCAATTCCCGTATTCTTATCGCGCGTTATTTTATTTTTATTTACATATCTTTTTTTACCTTCACACTTTTCAACGCTCTTACCTTTTGTTCGTGATTTTCCGCTCCTCCTTCTTCTTCTTCTCTTGTTCTACCTTCTTCTACTTCTCCTCCTCCTTCTGTGGCTGGGTGACTCGTCCCCTACACAACTAGGTCAAACTTTCCCTATCTCTGTACACAGGTTCGATTACCTAACAATAATATACATGATTTATAGATCTGCTACGGCCTGTGTTTGTGGTATATTATGGCCGGATGGCTCAAAAAATACCTGGGTGTTGCCGGCTTAAAAAGCCAGGTGTTTTATGCCTGCGAATGACTTGGGTTTGTTTGTGTCTGTCGATTGATTGGGTTTGTGATATTTTGTTAAACTGTGTTAGTTTGAACTTGGATGTTTGTCGAGAGTGTGTCAGAGAGAGAGAGAGAGAGAGAGAGAGAGAGAGAGTACGAGTGCCTCAATCGGTAGTGAGTGTGTCTAGGCTGGTTATAAAAGTACTTCTAACAGCACAACAATACCACGAATCAGGGAAGAAAGACACAACCTATGAACATCCCACACCTCCCAACTCTCACATGTGTGAACCACCTTCAAACCTTCTAACTTGTTTCCTCTTTGTTCTATACATCTGCATCCCTATTTGCCTATGTTTGTTTGGTCTAACCCTAACTTACCCTAACTTACCCTAACTTACCCTAACTTAAATGGTTTTAGTTTCTAATTTGGGGGTTGTCATTTTCGCAGTTTCCCCTATTTATTTATATCCCTCTGATTACACCCCATTACCCATTATGAAGTCTCACCCCATTACCCATTATGAAGTCTCACCCCATTACCCATTATGAAGTCTCACCCCATTACCCGTTATGAAGTCTCACCCCATTACCCATTATGAAGTCTCACCCCATTACCCATTATGAAGTCTCACCCCATTACCCATTATGAAGTCTCACCCCATTACCCATTATGAAGTCTCACCCCATTACCCATTATGAAGTCTCACCCCATTACCCATTATGAAGTCTCACCCCATTACCCATTATGAAGTCTCACCCCATTACCCATTATGAAGTCTCACCCCATTACCCATTATGAAGTCTCACCCCATTACCCATTATGAAGTCTCACCCCATTACCCATTATGAAGTCTCACCCCATTACCCATTATGAAGTCTCACCCCATTACCCATTATGAAGTCTCACCCCATTACCCATTATGAAGTCTCACCCCATTACCCATTTTGAAGTCTCTCGTCTCTTCCCTTATTCCACTACTGTATAGCGAGGATACAACGAGAGCTTTTAGATTACCTTTGCAGTATGTATCTCTGGCTGTATCTGTGAGTATATCTGTATCTCCCTATAGCTGTATCTGTGAGTATATCTGTATCTCCCTATAGCTGTATCTGTGAGTATATCTGTATCTCCCTATAGCTGTATCTGTGAGTATATCTGTATCTCCCTATAGCTGTATCTGTGAGTATATCTGTATCTCCCTATAGCTGTATCTGTGAGTATATCTGTATCTCCCTATAGCTGTATCTGTGAGTATATCTGTATCTCCCTATAGCTGTATCTGTGAGTATGTAAGTAGCTGCCTATAGATGTATCTGCCTATAGCTGTATCTGTGAGTATATCTGTATCTCCCTATAGCTGTATCTGTGAGTATATCTGTATCTCCCTATAGCTGTATCTGTGAGTATATCTGTATCTCCCTATAGCTGTATCTGTGAGTATATCTGTATCTCCCTATAGCTGTATCTGTGAGTATATCTGTATCTCCCTATAGCTGTATCTGTGAGTATATCTGTATCTCCCTATAGCTGTATCTGTGAGTATATCTGTATCTCCCTATAGCTGTATCTGTGAGTATGTAAGTAGCTGCCTATAGATGTATCTGCCTATAGCTGTATCTGTGAGTATATCTGTATCTGCCTATAGCTGTATCTGTCTGTAATTGTTTATGTTTGTCTGTTCCTGGGATTAGACCTATGAATGTAACTGTAGCTATGACTAGCTACAGTTACATTCACTGTAACTGAACTGTACTTGTACTACAGTTACAAGTACTTATGACTGTAACTGAACCAGTGACACAAAGTACCCTTGAGTTGTGTCACTTCCCCAAAAATTTAATTATAATAAAGATTTTTTGTTAATTTCAAATTTTAATATAACTTTATTTTTTTGGAGTTGTTGATTGTGCTTACCTATCAGTACTTATGGGGAAGTGAGGTGTAAGCTGTTTATACCCTGTCTACCAACCTTGTTGTATGTGTTGCATCATAGTTTAAATATTCTTATTCGTTGTTGTTGTTGTTGTTGTTAAAGATTCGCTACCTGGAACAAAAAATTCCAAGTAGCACGGACTATGGTGAACCCGTAGTGGATATATATATATTTTTATTTTTTTCATTTTTTGTTGAATCTGGCCTTAGAATTGCTACTTGCTATACCATAATTAATATCCCTTATGCTATGTCATTCATCCACTTGTTCTTTCTCTCCCAAAGAGAATGCTGCTATGTTTAGCACGGGCTTATATTCGGGTTCGATTCCCGGTGGAGGCGGAAACAAATGGGCAGAGTTTCTTTCACCCTTGATGCCTCTGTTCACCTAGCAGTAAATAGATACCTGGGAGTTAGACAGCGGCTACGGGCTGCTTCCTGGGGATGTATATGTGTGTGTGTGTGTGTGTGTGTGAGAGAGAGAGAGAAATATATGTAGTAGACATAATAGAGGAAAAAAATAAATTGGTTAGAAAGGTGGGGTCCAAGAGCTAATAGCTCGATTCTGCAGATGCAAATAGCAAATACAAATAGTAAATACACTCACACACAAAATACACGGAACAACTCGAGATGACAAACCCAAAATAAGAACTTCAAATACTTAAGAATTCCTCCTCCCAATTGTCTTTAGATTTTGTATATCCTTTTTGGATTATCACCTCGGATATTTATGTTTCATTCGTGTGAATTTCTTACTTGGTGTAATGGCATGCTTACCTTTTCTTTAGGGCGTCATAACAGCCGGAACCTGGCGTGCCTCTCATTCTCTGTCGAGTCAAGAATGATATTAGTGCTGCCTGGACGAACACAGATTCTTACTTTAACAAGACGGCGCTGACTGGAAGATCTCACAATGACTGGACATGAACAAGACGGCGCTGATTGGAAGATCTCACAAAGACTGGACATGAACAAGACGGCGCTGATTGGAAGATCTCACAATGACTGGACATGAACAAGACGGCGCTGACTGGAAGATCTCTCAAAGACTGGAGCCTAAACACAGACTGGAAGACAAGTTCATTTACTGTGACTGGACTGGGCAGGGACACTTCACAACGACTGGACGAATCCTCTGCTTTATGCTGACTAGATGGAGAGACTTCTTTTAAAATGACTCTCGAGTGTCCGAGCTGTGGGCTGTTGCAATCAAAGGCACAAGGTTAGTGACAATATTGCAATCGATCTGATTGGCTAGATTGTCGTCCCAGACTGGTCTATAGTTCATCAAGCAGCCATTTATCTCCCTAGACCCGCATAACTAGCTCCTGGTGACCATATTCAAAATCACATGGGCCGTACAAAATCACTTCTATAATACAAGAATCTTGTTTATTTTCAGGCACCTTTGGGTGTGTCCTTGAGCCTCTTCGTGGTGGTTCTGGCCAGACCGGACTCTCCTGGTCACCACCATCATCACCATCGGCAACCCCAATCCCCACCAGCAGAGGTCTCCTCGGGGTATGCTTATCCCGCACCAGCGGTGTCCTTCGATGCGTCCGCAGGCAGTTCTCTTCGGCCACCCGGGTCCGCCGAGTCCCAGAGGCCTTCAGGGTATGCCTTCCCGGTCCCTCTACAATCCTTTAATCCCTCAGGAGGGAATGATATGACTCCTCCACCTGCCCCTGGCGAGTCCTCGGAAGAAACAGAAGAACCGTCAGGATATTCTTATCCTGTACCAGAGAAGTCCTTCAACATTTTAGGATCAAGCAATTTCGCTCCTCCAAGTGCTCCTGAAGAATCATCTGAAGAATCCGACGAGCCATCAGGATATTCTTATCCTGTCCCAGAGAAGTCCTTTGACATCCTAGGATCAAGCAATTTGGCCCCTCCAAGTGTCTCTGCTGAATCTTCTGAAGAATCCGAAGAACCATCAGGATATTCTTATCCTGTCCCAGAGAAGTCCTTCGACATCCTAGGATCAAGCAATTTTTCCCCTCCTAGTGCTCCTGCTGAATCTTCTGAAGAATCCGAAGAACCATCAGGATATTCTTATCCTGTCCCAGAGAAGTCCTTCGACATCCTAGGATCAAGCAATTTTTCCCCTCCTAGTGCTCCTGATGAGTCTTCTGAAGAATCCGAAGAACCATCAGGATATTCTTATCCTGTCCCAGAGAAGTCCTTCGACATCCTAGGATCAAGCAATTTTTCCCCTCCTAGTGCTCCTGCTGAAACTTCTGAAGAATCCGAAGAACCATCAGGATATTCTTATCCTGTCCCAGAGAAGTCCTTCGACATCCTAGGATCAAGCAATTTTTCCCCACCTAGTGCTCCTGCTGAGTCTTCTGAAGAATCCGACGAGCCATCAGGATATTCTTATCCTGTCCCAGAGAAGTCCTTCGACATCCTAGGATCAAGCAATTTTTCCCCTCCTAGTGCTCCTGCTGAAACTTCTGAAGAATCCGAAGAACCATCAGGATATTCTTATCCTGTCCCAGAGAAGTCCTTCGACATCCTAGGATCAAGCAATTTTTCCCCTCCTAGTGCTCCTGCTGAATCTTCTGAAGAATCCGAAGAACCATCAGGATATTCTTATCCTGTCCCAGAGAAGTCCTTCGACATCCTAGGATCAAGCAATTTTTCCCCTCCTAGTGCTCCTGCTGAGTCTTCTGAAGAATCCGAAGAACCATCAGGATATTCTTATCCTGTCCCAGAGAAGTCCTTTGACATCCTAGGATCAAGCAATTTTTCCCCTCCTAGTGCTCCTGCTGAGTCTTCTGAAGAATCCGAAGAACCATCAGGATATTCTTATCCTGTCCCAGAGAAGTCCTTTGACATCCTAGGATCAAGCAATTTTTCCCCTCCTAGTGCTCCTGCTGAATCTTCTGAAGAATCCGAAGAACCATCAGGATATTCTTATCCTGTCCCAGAGAAGTCCTTTGACATCCTAGGATCAAGCAATTTTTCCCCTCCTAGTGCTCCTGCTGAGTCTTCTGAAGAATCCGAAGAACCATCAGGATATTCTTATCCTGTCCCAGAGAAGTCCTTTGACATCCTAGGATCAAGCAATTTTTCCCCTCCTAGTGCTCCTGCTGAGTCTTCTGAAGAATCCGAAGAACCATCAGGATATTCTTATCCTGTCCCAGAGAAGTCTTTCGACATCCTAGGATCAAGCAATTTTTCCCCTCCTAGTGCTCCTGCTGAATCTTCTGAAGAATCTGATGAACTATCAGGATATTCTTATCCTGTCCCAGAGAAGTCTTTCGACATCCTAGGATCAAGCAATTTTTCCCCTCCTAGTGCTCCTGCTGAATCTTCTGAAGAATCTGATGAACTATCAGGATATTCTTATCCTGTCCCAGAGAAGTCCTTCGACATCCTAGGATCAAGCAATTTGGCCCCTCCAAGTGTCTCTGGTGATTCTTCTGAAGAATCGTCAGGATACTCATATCCGGTTCCAAAGAAGTCTTTTGATACACTAGGAAGCGATGACCTCTCTCCTCCGTCAGCACCAACCCGTCCATCGACTACCCGGCTTCTCTCTCAGACGGCTGTGTCGAGAGCATCGAGCTCAACCTATTTCCCTCCCAATTTGTCGGCAGAAAAACCAGTCTCAAGCTATTTCCCTCCAAGAGAGTCTGCAAGAACACGACCCCTCCGTCCGAGGTTAAATTCATTATCGCAGAGAAAGCCCAGTGTCCAGGAGCAAGGTCAGTCCTTGTACCAACCTCCGGCTCAGCAGTCCTCTGAGGAGGCTCAGGAAGACGCCACCCAGACCCCATTAAGTGTATTCGTTTCGGCAATTCCTGTTCCTCAGCCTACGTACCTCGCCCCTGCTTCCTCACAGCCACGGCAACGTGTTCCTTCCTTTTTCCAAATAGCGCAACCAGTACCTGTCACATTGCATGCACGAGCACAAACGTCAAGTCGAGCACAAGCAACAAGTCGAGCGCAAGCAACTAGCCGCTCTCGCGCATCACTATCAGCAAGTCGGGACCAGCAGGAGGAGTCCGAGGAGGATTCCGAGGAGGAGGAGGAGGAGGAGTCTGCTGGTGGGGACAAGAGAGAGCAGGAGACGAGCAGCAGCAGCACCAACAGAGACTCTGCCGCTGTGGGAACTACACTCACACAAAGGTTAGTGGACAGAAAATACCGCAGAGATATTCTTTCCGGTTTATTTGAACCAATGCAATGTATTAGTTTCACTACATTCTTGACTGTTAACAGTATTCTGAGAAGAGACTTTATGAAATAAATCCTGTATCATGTAAACATTTTCCAAAGCAAACTTTTCAGAGATTTTTCATTCCTGTAATATGTACAAAATTTTCCGTTTTAATTATGCATACCAATATTGTTTTTAAGGATGTACCACAAACTTTGTTTTCTTATATTAATAATAATTTCATAAGTTTAATTGAATTAGTTTGACTATATATATTGAGATAATTATGCATCAATCTGCGAGGTATTTTAGCTTTCAGAATGTTTTTGAATTTGTTGTAAACATAGAACCCGGGTAAATTTTTCTTGTTGCCTTTATTTAGTCCCTCAATGCTAGTCATTCAGGTTCAAGACCTCACTGAAATGCCATTTGAAGATAATCAGAATTGTTTGGTAGATTTGGTCCAATTCTGAGACTTTTCAGCACATTAAGAGCCATTTCACATTCAGTCACTCTTTTTCGCTCAGTGTAAACAATTATTTGCAGGTTACAAGGGCTACGAAGAGTCATAAATTCAGTCTTATCAAAGTTGAAAGGTTTAAGCAAAGTAATGTTATTTTGTTTGTGTACTGGTACTTTGAACTAGTGAATGGCAGACTTGATGACACTTGAAACGTTTACAGATCTGGTGGCGGGGAGAGAGGCCGCGCCACCTACCAGCCGCCCCGTCCATCCACGTCGACCAGGAAGCTCGCGGCAGGAGACTTCGACCCTCTGTCTCACTTCAAGATTACCACCCACGACTTTTCTGATGCCTTCAAAAGCAAGGTTTTTCTCAAGCTTGTGAATGACCCAAGCGAAAGGACACAGAGACAGAGAGAAAATGCGAGGCCCAGACAGTCGTACACCTTCCCCACCAACAATCCTGAGGAGGATAAAGGTTCTGAAGAGTCTTCAGGAAGTGTTGCTCGCCCTGTCCAACTTTACAGAGCTCCTACAACACAGAAGCCAAAGACAGAAAGCAGCGTGGAGACTGAGGCAAAGGCATCTCGTCCCAGCCAATTTTACAAGTTTCCTTCACAAGTGACTGAAGACGAAGAGGACTCTGACGAGGACGAGGACTCTGACGAGGAAGAAGATAGCTCTGATCAGTCTGAAAACGGTTCTGATGAGTCTGAAAACAGTTCTGATGAGTCCGAAAACGACGGCACTTTTGGCTATATATACAGAGTACCCACCAGAAGGCTGCAAGAAGCACGGGATTCTGAAGAGTCCGAAGGAAGTAACTCTCGATACACTAACTTCTTCAACATTCGGGCTGGATCCAGCAAACAGAAGGAAGACTCTGAGGAAACTAGTAACAGTGGATCGTCATCTGGTTACTCATATAATGCCCCTGCTCTAAGATTTCAAGAAGGAAGGGAAGACAACGAAAAGCAACGTGCAGAAAAGAAAGAGTCAGAGAAAGTAGAAGATGAAGAAAAAGAAGACGGCTCAGAATCAGAAAAAGAAGAAGGCTCAGAATCAGAAAAAGAAGAATCAGAAAATCTGAAATCTGAAGAGCCGAAGGGAAGCTCCTCTCAATTCACCAACTTCTTTACAATACCAACTAGAGCGAATACAAGAAAAGCAGTTTCTGAGGAATCCCAGGCTAGTGCATCCTTCTCCGGTTACTCTTTTGATCCACCTGCAACGAAATTCGAAGAGGGAAAGAAAGGAGAAGATGAAGAAGGAGAAGATAAAGAAGGAGAAGATAAAGAAGAAGAAGATAAAGAGAAAAAAGAAGATTCGGACAGTTCAGAAAAAAGTGACGTGCGAACCACCAACTTCTTTAAAACTGCTTCTGAGGACTCTGATGAGACTGATACCAAGACCAGTCACTTCTTTGGATTCCCAAGCAGACAGGCCAGTGATACAAGTCAGTCCAAGAAAAGATTTCCAACCATTTATATCGGAGGAAATCAAAACAAAGAGGGCAGTGAGGAGGAGGAGGAAACTGGAGATGGTCAAGTCAGACATCCTGTGTTTATAGTCCTGAGGGAGCATCCTAATCGACGAGGCTCTTCTGGCAACACTGCTAACTTCTATGGCAAGCGAGATTCTGAAGAGGATGAAACATTGTTATTCCTGCCATATATAACCGAAGATGAGGATGAAGATGAGCCTTTTGGGTACCTGCAGGTCCCATCGTCGGTAGTGCCAGGTCTGGGACGCCTGACGAACCTTGAGCCAACACAACTGACAAAGGATATATCTGGCTTCATTACTGATCTCGACAATCATGGTAGCACCCGATTCCTCTCTTTCCTTTCACAGCAGGTGGCAAAGCTACAGGAGGAAAGCAGCAGCAGCGAAGAAAGTCATGAAGATGATGATGAAGCTGAAGACGATGAAGAATCTGAAGATGATGAAGATGAGAATGACAATAAAGATAGAGAAGAGGAAGATAAGGCTAATATAGGTAGAGAAGAAGAAGAAGAGGAAGAGGAAAAGGATGGTAAAAACCAGGCCAAAAACCCTCCAAAACCTCTTGTTTCCAGTCGGCAAGGTATTCCATCTCATTTTAAGATATCCTCACCAGCAAATCCCACACGAACCAGAGATTACTTCGCAAGGAGAACTACAAGTTCAAGTCAAAGCTCTACTCATCTTCGAACTCCTCAACCAAACCCTTTCACAAAGTCATTATCTAGTGTTTCAGCCGCGACCCAGAGACCACAGCCCCTTCAGGATTCATCGAGGTCTTTCTTTAACACAGGTTTCTTCAAAGGACAATTATCGATTTCCAGCCAAAAGGAACAGACAGAAGTGAAAGTGCCAGCCTCTCGGGCTTCAGGATATACTGCACCAAGTCGAGGCTCTGGTGCCCCCAAAACACATATCCCCAATGCTCTATATAGTGGAGGAAACAGATTTAGTGGATCTGCATCCCATTTACAGATAGGCCAGCCAGTATCTATTTTCTAATGCTGTGGAGATATACTTATTCATAGTTACATATAAGGGAAATTTTCAAAACTATTTTAAACAGAACTGCTTTTAATTAAAATATATTTCAGAAGACAAAAATCTGGTGAGTTATCTGAAGTCAGTGATATTATGCATTTAGGACACGAAATGACTATGATCAGAGACATTTTCTTTGATTCTAGATTCTTGAACAATCCACTCCAGTATTATTTATAAAACTACATGTTAATTTTCTCTGAGTTTTTAAGTTAATTTATGATTTAAAATAAGAATTAATTTATTTTTAATGGCATAATTATTTAAGAGAGTCTATTAAAATATATATGTATTAATAATATATGGTCAATGGTGGCAGCGGTGGGATCCCAATGTACAGTAACATAACGTTTATATATCCCGTGGTGTAATAAAGCAGGAGGCTGCTTTAGAGTGCTAATGGAGTACCTGAATGCCACTTTTCTGAAAAATGGTTGGAGAGACATGAAAATTACAGGAAAACATAAATAGCACAGGATAAAAAGAAATACTGAAAACACATACAATATATGAAGAAAATCATAAATGAGCACTAGTTAAAAAAAATTACAGTGTACAGGCAAACATAAAACATAAAAAAATAATAAAAATCATACAAATTAATACAAAATAAATAAAAATAACAAAATGCTGAACACAGTTTCTTATACAATACTGCCATGTTACCACAATTAATTTTGCCATTTTAATATCCAAATAATGAGCTTTCGACAATACTACGTGAAAGACATTATGTTTACATTGATTTAAAAACATGTGTTCTTCATCTTTCTCACCATCATGAATGAGAACATCCACAGGAACCGTGAAGAGGATTCGAACCAATGCGCTGGTGCGTCATAAATCTAATTCAAATTTATCCTTCAAATCTTGAACAAAACTAAATTAGTAGATGTCCCAGACTTTGTTTATTTTGCTGGCTTCATTTTTCAAAACTTTGTATCATTTCTTTTTTATTTATGAAATTTAAGCTTTGCATCTCGTATATACTTCACTAGTCCCTATTTTCATTACGTAACTGAAGTATATCTTAAGTTTCAATATTTAACATTAGTGCATTTGGTATAAGCTGTATTCCTTATCATACACTCATACATATGCTGTATTTCTCGTCGTAAATAAGCTGTATTTCTTATTTAACACACACAGACACAAGCTTTATCTCTTATCACAGCAGTAAACAGGTTCCTGAGAGTTAGGCAGTGGTTATGGGCAGGTCATCAGTAGTTGACCTTAGGGGACACACACGATAAGTCTAATGGGCTTCCTGTTCCCAACTATGGGAAACCATACACAATCTGTATTCCTTACCATACACCCCATACACAAGCTCTAATCCTTATCATACAATCAGACAGGTAAGAGAAATATGCCGAATATAACTTTAGGGTTATTAATTATTTCTTTTTGCTGCTTTTTTTTTGTAAGTATTTATGTATATTTATCTATATAGGAATACCATATTATGTCATTGTCAATAAATGTACATAGGAACACATTATTGTCTCATTGTCCTACCATACGTGGTTTATAGTGATGTGCAGTGACAATGACACCACAGGCTGCTTGTTCATTGTGAAACTATAACACATACACAAAATCCTGTTGATTGACAGTTGAGAGGCGGGACCAGAGAGCCGAAACTCAACCCCCGCAAGTACAACTAGATGAGTACACACACACACACAGGAGCCTCGCGGCTGAATGGACAGCACTCTGGGGAGATTGTTCTAAGGGTCTGGGCTCGATCCCCGGCGGAGGCGGAAACAAATCAGACAGGCAGAGTTTCTTTCACCCTGGTGCTCCTATTCACCTAGCAGTAAATAGGTACCTGGGAGTTAGACAGTTGCTACGGGCTGCTTCCTGGTGACGTGTGTGAGTGTTAGAGAGAAATATATGTAGTAGAAATAATAGAGGGAAATCAATTGGTTAGAAAGGCGGGGTCCAAGAGCTCGATTCTGCCGATATAAATAATAGGAAATATAAGTATTAAGCACACCCATGTAGCACTAAGGAATAAACACCATGAAAGTGATCAACAATGTAAACAAAGGCATTAACACCTTTTCCCCAGCGTCAAAAGGAGTGACTTCCACTTATGCAAATGGCTTGACTTATGCAACATAAAATAATAGTTCCAAGTTTTTATATGTAGAAAATTCCGGGTTTGTTGGACTACGTTGCATGTTGAGCCTCTGTCAAGCAGGTTTGGGACGGTGGTTTTTTTTTTGAGTTTGGTGAGTGAGAGGAATTGACTGTGTGTGTGTACTCACCTAGTGGAGTACTGTGTGTGTGTACTCACCTAGTGGAGTACTGTGTGTGTGTACTCACCTAGTGGAGTACTGTGTGTGTGTACTCACCTAGTGGAGTACTGTGTGTGTGTACTCACCTAGTGGAGTACTGTGTGTGTGTGTGTGTACTCACCTAGTGGAGTACTGTGTGTGTGTACTCACCTAGTGGAGTACTGTGTGTGTGTGTACTCACCTAGTGGAGTACTGTGTGTGTACTCACCTAGTGGAGTACTGTGTGTGTACTCACCTAGTGGAGTACTCTGTGTGTGTGTGTGTACTCACCTAGTGGAGTACTGTGTGTGTGTGTGTGTACTCACCTAGTGGAGTACTGTGTGTGTGTACTCACCTAGTGGAGTACTGTGTGTGTGTACTCACCTAGTGGAGTACTGTGTGTGTGTGTGTGTGTACTCACCTAGTGGAGTACTGTGTGTGTGTGTGTGTACTCACCTAGTGGAGTACTGTGTGTGTGTACTCACCTAGTGGAGTACTGTGTGTGTGTGTGTGTACTCACCTAGTGGAGTACTGTGTGTGTGTGTGTGTACTCACCTAGTGGAGTACTGTGTGTGTGTGTGAGTGTACTCACCTAGTGGAGTACTGTGTGTGTGTGTGTGTACTCACCTAGTGGAGTACTGTGTGTGTACTCACCTAGTGGAGTACTGTGTGTGTGTGTGTGTACTCACCTAGTGGAGTACTGTGTGTGTACTCACCTAGTGGAGTACTGTGTGTGTACTCACCTAGTGGAGTACTGTGTGTGTGTGTGTACTCACCTAGTGGAGTACTGTGTGTGTGTGTGTGTACTCACCTAGTGGAGTACTGTGTGTGTACTCACCTAGTGGAGTACTGTGTGTGTACTCACCTAGTGGAGTACTGTGTGTGTACTCACCTAGTGGAGTACTGTGTGTGTACTCACCTAGTGGAGTACTGTGTGTGTACTCACCTAGTGGAGTACTGTGTGTGTGTGTACTCACCTAGTGGAGTACTGTGTGTGTGTGTGTGTACTCACCTAGTGGAGTACTGTGTGTGTACTCACCTAGTGGAGTACTGTGTGTGTGTACTCACCTAGTGGAGTACTGTGTGTGTGTGTACTCACCTAGTGGAGTACTGTGTGTGTACTCACCTAGTGGAGTACTGTGTGTGTGTGTGTGTACTCACCTAGTGGAGTACTGTGTGTGTGTGTGTGTACTCACCTAGTGGAGTACTGTGTGTGTGTACTCACCTAGTGGAGTACTGTGTGTGTGTACTCATCTAGTGGAGTACTGTGTGTGTTTATTTACTATTTGTGTGCGTAGAATCGAGCTATTAGCTCTTGGACCCCGCCTTTCTAACCAATCGATTTTCCTCTATTTATCTACTACATATATTTCTCTTTAACACACGCACACACACACACACACACAGGAAGCAGCCCGTAGCAGCTGTCTAACTCCCAGGTACCTTTTTATTTCTAGATGAACAGGGCCATCAGGGAGAAAGAAACTCCCCATTTGTTTCCACCTCCGCCGGGGATCGAACCCGGGCAATTAGGACTATGACCCCAGAGCGCTGTACACTCAGCCGCGAGGACCCTATGTGTATGTGTGTGTGTGTGTCTGTGTACTCTCCTAGTTGTGCTTGCAGAGGTTGAGCTCTTTGGTCCCGCCTCTCAACTGTCAATCAAGAATGACTGACACACACAATGTGTGTGACATTTCATTATCTAGTTGTGAAATATTAACAAAAGATAGTAAAGGAGGAAATGTACATGTTTATCTCTCAGAATGTTTGGTAATATGTTTATTGTTTGTGATGTGTGTCTATGTATGTATTAACACGATGTACTGAACGGGGTGAGAATAGCTTGAGCTACCTCATCCCTTTGTGTGTGTTTTACCTCAATAAACTTATTTCAATTTCAATTTAAACAAAACATAATAAAAATAGATTCGCCAAGAGTTTTAGCAAGGGAAAGAAGTCAATTGTCTAGTTGGCATAAACAAGTCCATTTTCTAGTTATCTAACCTAGCCAATGATGACCTTCCTTAGAAAATCTCAACCATAGAAAACGGGCTTTTGTGTGTGTGTGAGAGAGAGAGAGAGAGAGAGAGAGAGAGAGAGAGAGAGAGAGAGAGAGAGAGAGAGAGAGAGAGAGAGAGAGAGAGAGAGACAGAGAGAGAGAGAGAGAGAGAGAGAGAGAGAGAGAGAGAGAGAGAGAGAGAGAGAGAGAGAGAGAGAGAGAGAGAGAGAGAGAGAGAGAGAGAGAGAGAGAGAGAGAGAGAGAGAGAGAGAGAGAGAGAGAGAGAGAGAGAGAGAGAGAGAGAGAGAGAGAGAGAGAGAGAGAGAGAGAGAGAGAGAGAGAGAGAGAGAGAGAGAGAGAGAGACAGACAGACAGAGAGAGACAGAGAGAGAGACAGAGAGAGAGAGAGGCAGAGAGAGAGAGAGAGAGAGAGAGAGAGAGAGAGAGAGAGAGAGAGAGAGAGAGAGAGAGAGAGAGAGAGAGAGAGAGAGAGAGAGAGGAAAGCCAGAAAGAAGAGATACAGACGAGGCCTCCGAATTGGTCACCAACGGAAACTACCGCTGGAGACTTCATATTTTTCTTTATTACGTGAGTGATAATAGGCAGCAGGTATATGAGTGGTCTCGGTAGTGCAGCAAGCCGTCCTCGACTCAAGTCCATTACATCCAGCGGTCAACCCCACAGACGCATTCATAAATTTTAACATGCTGTTCATTAAAAACGGGAATATTCTCAAAAATAAATTAATATTATAATATATTAGCATATTGTGCATATATAGGCATAGGTTAGGTTAGGTGTTTAGGTTCTGTTGGCGATTATTTGTATTTGTAGTACGTGGGTGAAGCATTTACAGCGTTGTGGTTCGAACAAAAGTCGTCAGCGAAGCACTTGTTCCGGAAGTGTTCGAACGTCAGCAGTTGTGAGTCGTGTGTGAACCGTTTTTAATTTATAAACAGCTGGGGGGTTTGGCGGGTGGATGGAATCACTTTTGAGTCTTTGTTTGAAGGACGGGCTGATGGTCAATCGGGTTCGTTCTCGACTCACAATCGAAAATTCCGGGTTCGAATCCCGGACGGGACAGAAATAGTTGGGCTTGTTTCCTACCACCTAATGCCTCTGTTCACCTAGGAGTAAGTAGGTATTCAGGAGTTACTCAGCTTGGTTGTGAGGTTGAATCCTGGACGGGGTCAGTAATTCAACCATGGCCACCCCCCCCCCACACCACAAGGTCGAATTACACGAGACCTTACTCTAAGCCTAACCCTTGTATGAATATACTCAGGCTGCCTGTCCCCCGACACTATGAATTATCACTACTATACTACTACCAATAGTAACTTAAGGAGTATAATAGTAGAAGAGACAGTATAAATTACATTAATTGCAACTATAAGAGAATAATTAATACAAATAGTTTTAAAAATAGGAAACAAAAATAAAATAAAATATACTTCTACTACTGATAATAGAAAAAAATAAAATAGTCATAGAAGGAATAGCAAAACATAATATTCTTTGTTGCTGTATTAATTAACAATAAAATTAAAAGCCACCATAGTTATTAGTAATAACAATAGGCACTACTAACCGCAGCATCTATACCATTAATATCTATATTATAATTATTAGCAGTGTAGTAATAGTAGCAGAAAGTAGTAGTAGTAGAGATGTTACCAGGGAAGTATCCATCAGAGAATGTTTGGTACTGGCGAGACAGCCTCACTTCACCGTACAGTGAAAGACGAAGAACCCGTTCGGTTAGTACCCGTTCGGTTAGTACCTGTTTCCCGAGTAGGTTATCCGGTCTACTTCCTGGGGGGGGGGGGGGGTGAGACAGAGGCGGAAGTGGATTAGGAGGAGAAACAGGAAGAGGCGCAGGGGAGGAAGAGGAGCAGGGGAGGAAGAGGAGCAGGGGAGGAAGAGGAGCAGGGGAGGAAGAGGAAGAGGTTCTGGTCTAAAACCACTACCCAACGTACTCTCCGCAGGAATATATATATATATATACATTGAGACATACCCCGCTTCTCGGTGTATATACACTGAGAGGTCTACCCCCGCTTCTATGGATATATATATATATATATATATATATATATATATATATATATATATATATATATATACCCCCGCTTCTATGGATATATATATATATATATACCTATATATATTTATATATATATATATATATATATATATATATATATATATA